CCAAAAAAAAGAAAATAAAAAAATTTGTTGTAATCGTTTTAAAAAGTTTATTGACTTGCTGTCTAAGTAAGTATGTTAAATTACTATTTTAGATAATAATGAAGAAACCAGTAGAATATTATTTAAGTCGTTCGAAATTTAACAGTTTATGGTTCAAAATCTTAAGTTCACTTTATATAAAAGTATTTATTTTATTTTTGATTATACGATCGTGTTGTTTGGTCAGTATTTCCCTCAGTGATCTGCGGCTGTTTGCTTTTGAGTTTTTGGTGGAAATTTTGCGCTTGCAAATCGCACGGAAAATTCGAGAACGAGAAACGGACAGAGGCAGCGGCTGTTCTGTGTTGGTTTTGGGCTTGAGCATGTGTCCCCCGGTTCGCCGCCCCCTCCTCCCCTCCTCCCTCCCCCTCTCTATTTTCCATTTCCCCCAGACCAGTTTGCCGGGCAACCCTCGAAGAGGATTTTCATTTCGCAGCTTAGAACTGAACCGGGTTCGCCGGGTGCTCCTCTGCTTTTCTAAATAATAGGATTCGCGAGCGGCAACTTCGAGGAGGCACCACCAAGCCCCCCGAACCACTGGGTGGTGGAAAGTGGTTCAGTGTGGGCCAAACAATGCAGCAGACGCATGCATGATGGTCCAAAGGTGGAGCTGCGGTGGCAACTCTGGCAATGGCAACTTGGACCGGCTATCGAGTGAATTTATTTGCATTTCGCATGGCCACCAAAAAAGGGAAGAACGAGGCGATGGGTGGTGGGTGCTGCCAAAGAGGCCTGGTCAACAATTCTTTCGATTTTCATTTCCGTGTCCTCTCCAGGCATCACCAGTAGCAACAACAACAGCAACAACAACAATAACAACAGAAACTGGAAGGACAACAATACTGCTGGCAACAACAAACATGGCGCAAAAATCATTAGAAACTCTTTTGTTTAGCTGGCGCACGTTTGCAGGCTCCAAAGTCGGGGAAATAAAACGGCAGAGAAAACTCCTCCGACGCAGGCATTTTCCTTTTTCGCCGACGATGAGGACGAGGACGAGGATGAGGAGCGGCGACGTCGCGTATGCGCAATTTTCTGAAAAAAACGAGGAGGAGGCGCTGGCTACCCAATTGACCGAGGCCGAGCAAGGACCTCCAGGGCACAGAATGGTGGTTTCTAGAGGGTGGTGCTCCTCCTCCCGCTGCTGCTGCTGATGTGGCTACTTCTTTTGTTGCCCCCCTCTGGTGGTTGCTCCTGCCCGGGAATCCCCTCTCTTTTCAACCCACCACTTCCATTTTCTGTGGTGCCCGGCAGTCCGGCATTGCTGGTCTTTTTTTTTCCTGCCCCACTCGTTGGTTTTGCGTGATCCACACTTTAAGCAGCCTTAGCCGCAGTGGCCGCCAGCAGAAATCCTTTTGAGGGGCGGCTGGAGGATGTGGGGAATGCCAGGGAGACTGGGGAGACTGCAATCTGCAGTATTGCAGCGCTGACTAAGCGATTTGTTAAAGTTGAAGTTGTCAGAGCCTTGATCTATCTTAAGTAACCACATCTAATAAGTAACCACCTTATCAAATAAACTTTCAATAAAATTAATACTTAGAAGCTATATCGGGATTATTTGTGTACGAAAAACTAAGTGCTTACCTTTCCTGAATCCGTAATTATTATTCGTAATTAAACCGATCTTGTAAGGTTTACGTAGAAAACTATCTTGTATAATTCAGTTTATAGGTCACATTTTCTTTTATTGCTCGACTTTGAATTCTTTCTAGTTTTTCAGGGACATTGTCAATATCAGCTCTTCAGTCTTTGTTTGTTCTACTTCGGATTCTCCAGCAGGGAAGAGTTGAAGGTCCTTAGAAGAGCGTTCAAGAGCAGCTCGGAAAAACTGGCAACGAATGTGAGGTTTTTGTCCACTTCTAAGGATGGCCGCAGAAAGGCGCAAGGCTTTTCAACCATTTTCCGGCCTTTCCTTCATCCCTTCCCCACATTTTGTCACTCTTTTGAGTCCTACTTCTTCCGTTGGCAGTGGCATACGGTAGGTCCCTTTACTTATATTTTCATTTTGAATCCATACCCTCTCCAAAAGGTTTTTTCGGTAAATAAATTCAGATTCTATGAAGATATTTAACCTTTAAGGGATTAAAAGATCTAGTATTAAAATTAAATTTGAGCATTTTATTAAAAGTACTGATCATCTCATTCATTATTACATATTTCATTTTAAAACCAGAAGATTGTGCATCCTATCACTTAATTAACATCGTAGTAATGATCTTGAGTCTCTACATTTTAAAATTGTGTACGTTATGTTCTCAAATAGATCTGTCCGTATACTTTAAAATAAGATATTTTAAGAAGCGTAAATATCTAAAAAATTAATAAAAATTATTTTATAATAAGCCAATAATTGATTCAAAGTTTCTTTTAAGAGTAATTCCAGTATCGAAGGCTTAACTTCAAGCTCCGCCATTCAGTGGCTTTGGTCATTTCCTGTCGCCATTGCTTTCTCCTTTGACTGTAAGTGTGTAACGGCTTTTTTCTTTTCACATTGGCTGCTGGCAATTTGAACTCTTTCGCTTTGCCAGCGGATGTCCTTTAACGTGGTTTCCACACCGCTGCCCTTGCCACTGCCCACACGCTTTCTTCACGCTGCTCCGATAATTTCACTTTGAATTTCCTCATCGCAGCTTTTCTGCTGCACGGAAGCGCGCTAGTTTCCTCTCCCAGCGGACCGGTTAGTTTTTCCTTGTTTTTTTTTTTTCAGCTACAGTTCGCCATCTTCGGACTTGTCAAAGCGGAAAGGGCCTTCATTTCCGCCTCGAAAGAGCCGCCGCGTTTTTTCCTTTTCCGATTCGCTGACTGCCAAAAAGAGGACAGCAACTGCAAACATCCCTTTGAAGGTAAAGAAATAGTTCTAGTTGATCGAAAATATTGATTTGATCTTATTGATCTTTTAAAAGCTCTTTTGCTAAAACCTTCTTAAATAATTTTTGTAGCATACTTTTTGGTTCTGCAATCTGTTTTTTTCCTATCATTCCATATATGAAATTATTTCTTACAAGGATGCTGAATGGAAAAATCCAGATATAACTAGATGACAGGTGACAATATAAATCAGAAAAAAAGAACCCTATTTTCTCTTTGACCTGCGAAAAAATATTCATCTTAAGATGTCAAAGCTCCTGAAAGAAAGGGCACAAAAGGAATGGGGAAAATTGGAGCCTCGTGTCGGCGATTCGCCAACGAAGGCCTCGAAAAATAATTTGCGAAGTGATACGCGTTTTTTAGCCCATGTGCACCCCCGATTTATATATGCAGATATCTATATAAAAGTATTTCATGTGGCCCCCCGCACACACACATATATTATTATATATATATATATAGATATATTCGAGTGGTCGGGCCAATCGGCGTTGAGCACGAAGTTTCGAGAGGCTCGTGGAAGGCGCCCGAATGCCAAAAGGTCAAAAAGAGAGAGGGAAAATGGAATAAAATATGCAAAATATACAAAATAGCACCACAAAAATACAAACAAACACTCACACATACGGCCGAACACAAAGAGGGATTTATTTTAGTTGTTGTTATTGGCTGCGCTCGCACTGGCACACACACACACAAGACACAACACTATTGCAATAGTGCGTGTACGGCAACAACAACTACATTTTGATATTAAAAATGCGTTCGTAGCACCGCCTACCAAGTGACGTCACTTGCTGCACTTGCTGCGTCTTTGCCTCCTTTTCTTTCTTTCTTTCCTTTTGTTCTCTTTTTTGCTCTTTTCGTTGCCACCTCCAAGTATCCATTTTGGGGAGAGGAGGAGGAACCAGAGAAGAGAGTGGAGCCGAAGCTTTTCGTTCGTTTTCGCTCGTCTTTCAGCAGTTTTTTTGTTGTTTCTGCCTCTCCCCCTTCCTCGTGTTGGTGTATGTGTGTGTGTGGAGGAGCAAGCAGCTCGCTGTCTCTCTTGCTCTTGAGCCCCCATATGGAACTTTAAGGGGCGTGGCCAAGTGAGTGTGTGTTGCTGTCGCCACTTTTTCTCTGCTCTTTTTTGCCATAGTTTCTGCCTAAGCAGCAAAAGCAACAACAAAGGCCAACGTAGAAGAAGAAAAGAGGGTTGGCAACTATTGGCAACACTTTCTTACTGGACATTGGCCAGTTTCTCTTTCTTGCTGGTTGTTGTTGCTGCTGCGGCTTGTGTTGTAGTATTTGCTGCTGCTGAGGTGCAAGTTGCTGCTGCTTCTCTCCTAGTGGCAGGTGTAGCCTGCAATTCTTGGCTGGGATAGTGAATTGGTAAGATTTTGTATGTTTTTTCGATTTGACTTATTAAAATGCCCCTTTGGATTAATAGGTAACAATTTTTTACAATAACTATGTACATACACTATAGCAAAATTATTGAAGATTGTTTTTACATAAAAATTGTCCACCTATGGCTAAGAAAATTTAAGACACAAGTTTTGCTAATATCCAAGTTTGTGGAGTACACAATACTTTTTTTTATTTCGAAGTATGCTTTTGTGATATGTAATAAAACCAATATAAAATCATCGCCTGGAAACTGTTGTTTTTAATAGAAACAAATCTTTTTAATGAATAAGTATAAGGTTGAATAAACAAACAAAATGCGCCATACAAATATCTTGAAAAATTTATATTTTGAACTAAAGTCCAATTTTTTAAGTATAAACTCTAATTTCTTAAGTCAACAAAATTATTAATTTTTAAGTTTTGTTTTGGTTGTTTTTTTCCAAAATTGTTAAAAATTTAAAAAATTCTTAAGTTGATTTCGGAGAAAGATCTTTAAAAAAATATAAAGAGAGCCCCCAAACACTTCTCTTAAGGAATAATCTATCTCTTATCAAGTCCGCGGCATAAACCGGAAAACACCACTCTCTTTGTTCGAATTCGCCGTTTGCGCTCTCTCGGCAAAACGCCCTCGTCGGCAGCACAGTCGGCAGCGACACCGGCGTCGGCTGAGCGGCATTGAGTTTCATTCATCGCAAAGCGATTTTCAGTTTGAGTGTCCGTGGGATTCAGAGTATCTGTGGGATTCAGATTCAGTTCGGTTTTGACTTTCGGCGTGAGTGCAACGTGTTTTTAGTAAGAGCCAGCAACAACAACAACAACAGCAACAGTAACTGAAACAAAAACACAGCAGTAGTGAGACAAGAACAGCAAAAGCAACAACAAGTGACGTGCAACGACAACAACAAGCAGCATGTGTTGCATGCAGTGAACAAAATACCAAACAAGAGGAGAAAACATAAACACAAGTATTCTATTAATATTTGAAGCAAGAAAAAGGCAAACTAAAACTAAAAGTGAACAAAAACAACAAAATAAACGAGACCAAAGTGTATGTGTGCGGTGATTATTATATTAATTATAGTGTATTATTTATGACAAATGACTGGGTTGCAATGAAAATCGATTTTGTACCTCCACTATATATACTACTTTGTATATATAAATTATCCAGAGGAAGTCCGCCCCTCCTCCCATTTCCCCTCGCACATTTTCCGCGCATTTTGCTTGCGCTACCAAAGAAATTGTAATTTATTAATTTATAACACAATCCACCCAACGAAAAGGTCGTAAAAAGCAATGTTGCTGCTGCTTTTCTGCTTCGTCTTTTGGGCGCCCAGGAATTAAGAAGAAAACCCACTCGAAGGAGCAACTTTTCCGACTTTTCCGAGTGGGTGGCACGCGCCAAAAACAGTTTGTAAACATTTTCCACAGAGCGAGAGAAAAGCCAGACAGAAAACCCAGCAGCAACAACGAGCTCTGCCTGTGTAATTTATTACTTGCTGCATAAATAATAAATAAGCGTTAATAAATAAATACAATATGCAATATATAAATGTGTCCGAACGCCCACACACCACCCCCTTTTCCTGGGCCCTTCTCTGTGTGTGTGTGTGTGTGCGGGTGTGTCTGTGTGTGTGTGCGCCCACTTCCAAGGATCCACAACCTCGAGACTGAATTAAATAAATAAATACAGAAATAATAAATAAATAAAGTGGCCTGCCTTCTGTATTTTTTTGCTGTCAACAGCTGCGCTGGCTATAAATAATTAAACAAAAGTAATATAAATTACGAGGAAACAGGAAGAAGTATAAAAAGGCGAGTTTCGAATTAGGAGCTTCCAGCTTTTCTGTCTGTTTGGGGTTTCAATGATGTTTTTTATACTCTTACTTGCTTACAATGATAATTTTAATATAATGAAGTAAACACTTAGAAAATTAGTTTGAAGTTGAATAGTTTTTCTAGAAGAACAAAATGTTTTTTGTGTATTTTCACAAATGTTTAAAAACTGACTTTAAAAACATAATATGAAAACTCAAGCATTTTCAAACTATAAAAGTCAAAATATCAGTTTTGAGTTTTGAGTTCCGATTATGAAGTTCTCCGATTTTTTTTTTTGGCATTTAGGCAATTTACTTATTTATTTATTTGAGGCCGAGTTTTGCCAAAGAAGCATCAAATTTAATGCGAGCAGCCACGATAAAAGCAACAAACATGAATAAATAAGAGGAATAACAAAAGGCAGAGCGCGGCCATAACAATAAACCAAAAGTTGCCAAAAAGGAGCGAGGAGGAAAGGCGGCAGCAGAGTGTTTCCCTCAGACAGCGAAGGGCACTGATGAGGGGGAGAGGGAGGGGGAAAGGGGGTGGCTCTTCAGCTCTTTCCAGCTCCCATTTCCCAGCTCTTCAGCTCCTCAGCTCCCTCGACGATGACTCTCCGGCAACAACAATAAAATAAACAAAAATAATAACAGTCGACGACGACGACGAGTCGAGTCGCAACAGCCACAAGATTTAATTGGAATGAAATAATAATAAACATAAAAAGTAGCAAGAAGAAGTATTATAATAACAATAATAATAAATATAATTAAATTTTATGGCAGCTGCACGGCAGCAGCAGCAGCAGCAGCAACTTTTGCAACCCTCAAACGAGGCGAACCCAACAAGCCCGACCAAACCGACATAAATTAAAATTATACAAAATATTTAAATAAATATAATTACTTTTGCCTCTCTCTCTCTCTGTTGCTCGCTCTCTCTCTTTGTATTTGTCCCCTCGACGCTGCCATAAATAATAATATTTAATTAAATATAAATCTATAGACGGGCGCTGTGCGCATGCAAGTAGATCCAGAGACAACAATACAAAATAAGCAATAATCGCACACACAATTACATAGCGATTTCGTATAGATGCGTACAAATACAACAACAATAACAAAAATAACAACAATAACAATAATGGGCAGAGGAAACTACAAATAATTGCAGCTCAGTAATATAAATTAAGCTAAATTAAACATAAATAAATGTGTGCTTAGCTTTTAGCTAATAAAGCACATTTCTGGCCGGGGCGGATTCAGTGGGCGGTGGGGGTGGTGGGTGGTTCGAGTGGGTGGAATGGTTAGGAATGGTTGCGAAATACTAAACATAAATTAATAGAAATTCATGGAAATTTTCGGCTCAGCCGGAGGGAAGGGGCAAGATTAATAGGCTTATTTAATAGAGTTATGACTAAGAGCAAATGCGCTCGCTGATTCAACTTGATGTGGATAAAACACTTGCAGATACATTATTGTTATAGATTCGAATACATTCGATTGGCAGGGGGAATGCCCAATATTATTAAAGCCTGTTTCCAAGAAATCATACTTAATCAAACCGGAAATGTTTTGTCTCTTTGCCATACTTGATATTCTTAGAAAAACAACTCTCGAAAAGAGATAATTAATATATGAATATGTTTCAAAGATTTATTAGTTGACAAGCAATGGTATTCATTTATTTGTTAATGAAAAGTATTATCCATAAAAGTAGTTTCTAGTTTCAAAATGCATTAATGAAAGCCTCTTGCCCCTCTTTCCATCTTTTAATGGTTACCTTTTCTTCCCAAGGAATCACATGAAAATTCTCTTTAATTCCAGCGCTTGAACTGCTCCCAGGAAAAGTTCTCGTAACGCCCCTGAAAATGTGTTAAGAACCCCGGCAGAAAACCTGCACTTAAACAGATAAAAGCGGAAACTCTCTCAGCACCATGGACATGACCAAACAGATCGTGGACTTCGAGTTGAAGTCGGAGGGCGAGGTGGAGCAGTACGAGCCGAGTGACTACACAATGGCTCCCCTGGAGGAGCCCAAGATGGCGGTGGAGCCTCAGTTGGAGGAGCCAGAGGAGCTGGACAGAAAATACTCCCCCGAAAGGGTGGCAGACTCCACTTTGGAGGATCAACGGGAGGAAGTTCCCCAGATGGACAAAGATGGAGATACAGAGCCAGTGGCACTCGTTAATTCACCAGAAAATAAAGATACAGAAACGGTGCTGGTGAAGCCCAAGGAGAGTTCGGTGAACGATCAACCCTTGACCCCGCCACCGCGACCTTTGACCTCCAGCGAAGTGGTGGGTCTCCGGGATCCCGACGATCCCGAGTTGCGCCTGCGCCTGGAGGCCAAGAAATCGCGCTCCCTGCCGGTTTCCCCGCAGCCGCAGCAGAGCCTCAAGTTGGCTGGCTCGGCTCTCTTCGAATTCGGCCAGAGACCCCCTCCGGTGGAGGCCAAGATCAAAGCGAATCCCGACCTGAAGCCGCCGAGGCGAAAGATGGCTCCTCCGAGCGGCGGCGGTGGCGATAATCAGCAGTTTTGCCTGCGCTGGAACAACTACCAGTCGAACCTGACCAACGTCTTCGACGAGCTGCTGCAGAGCGAGTCCTTCGTGGATGTCACTTTATCCTGCGAGGGCCACTCGATCAAGGCCCACAAAATGGTGCTCTCCGCCTGTTCGCCCTACTTCCAGGCGCTCTTCTACGACAATCCCTGCCAGCACCCCATCATCATCATGCGGGATGTCAACTGGTCGGATCTGAAGGCCCTGGTGGAGTTCATGTACAAGGGCGAGATCAATGTGTGCCAGGATCAGATCAATCCGCTCCTGAAGGTGGCAGAAACCCTGAAGATCCGCGGACTGGCGGAGGTGAGTGCGGGCAGGGGCGACGGGGGCGCCTCCGCGCATCCCATGTCCGTCTACGACGACGAGGACGAGGAGGAGGAGCTGGCCTCGGCCACCGCCATCCTGCGGCAGGACGACGAAGCCGATCCCGATGAGGAGCTGAAGGCCAAGCGACCCAGGCTGCTCCCCGAGGGAGCCCTGGATCTCAACCAGAGGCAGAGGAAGCGATCGCGGGACGGCAGCTACGCCACGCCCAGTCCCTCGTTGCAGGGCGGCGAGTCGGAGATCTCGGAGAGGGGCTCCTCCTCGACCCCGGGACAGAACCAGAGCCAACCTTTGGCCATGACCACCTCGACCATCGTGCGCAACCCGTTCGCCTCGCCGAATCCCCAGACCTTGGAGAGCAGGAACAGCGGATCGTCGGCCGGGGGAAATCAGAGGAGCTCCCCGCCTCCGAACTCATCGGGCCATAGCAATGGAAACGCCGGCAGCGCCATGCTTTCCCCGCCGGGAGCAGTGGCCGCCCAGTCCGCCCTGCCGCCCCACATGGCCGCCGCCGTGGCAGCCGCCGCCCACCATGCCGCCGCCGTGCCCCCGCCCCCGCCCGCCATGCACCATCATGCCGCCGCCGCTGCCGCCCAGCAGTTGGCCGCCCAGCATCAGCTGGCCCACTCGCACGCGATGGCCAGCGCCTTGGCCGCCGCCGCCGCCGGAGCGGGAGGAGCGGGCGGAGCGGGATCCGGAAGCGGATCGGGAGGAAGTGCCCCCAGTGGCGGAGCCGGAGCAGCGGGAAGTGCATCCGCTTCCTCGGTGGGTTCCCATCACGATGACATGGAAATCAAACCAGAAATCGCCGAGATGATTCGCGAGGAAGAGAGGGTGAGTTAAAAAACTAATTAAAATATTACATCAAATATAACTATTTCTAATTAGTTATAAATATTTAAATTAAAGAGGAAATGAAAGAACAATGATATCATATAAAGACAAACATTAATAGATATACATTACAAAAAGCTTAGTGATCTCAGCAATGACTGAATTATTTTGATTGTGCTCACAAGAAATGACTAAGGTAAATTAAAAAGTTAAGTGATATACAGACATTCCTTGGAAATTGCTGGAGGCCAAAAGAATTACCCAGAAATGGAAAAAAATAAATTGAGTTCCATCAAAGAGAAATGACTAATAAACTAAACAATTAAAAAGTTTCCCCTTTGAGTTTCTGGAAAATTATAAAAAAAAGAAGAAGAAAGCAAAGCGATTATTAGATTTTTCCTGAATTGCTGATATATAAAAGCAGACGATTACGGAAAATAATTTTAATGCTAAGAAGTATATTTTTGAGGTAAATAATGGATACCTTAGCTGAGAAAATCATGAAGTCATTAAACGAGGCAGGTGATCAGCGATCTCGGTGACTCAGAAATAGTGTTCCACTTGCATGCAAATAAACATATTGCCACCGATCTGGGGAACAGCTTGGCTCATTTGTTTCTGAAATTACAAATTGTAATGGATACACGATCGGGATTATGATCGTAAATATAGATAAATAATTGCAATAAGAATTAATAGTATTACCCGTACGGCATTGTGTGGCATTAATACGTACTTGGCATTATATGGAACCGATCTCTTCGTATGGACAGAACCTAACCAAGCATGGAGCCATGGAGTGGGCTCCCATTTCCCCCGTTCAGCTCTGCTTGACCCCCGACGACCCCTTTTCGCCTTCCGAAGGCTGCGCAAAAGCTTTGCATAATGCGCATACGCCGCGTACGCCGCCGTGCAACTGGAACTCAGACAATCGCTCACTTAGTTAGTTGGTTCGCTGGGAAATGCACTCGGTGCATGCATATTAACGAAATCTTTTGCATTCTCCCCGTCGCATTTACCTTTTCGTACCGTTTCGTTTCGTTCCGTTGTTATTTCTATTAGATTGCAAATTAAAGCTGATTTACTATTTGTATAAGAAAACAGACCGCTGGGGCAACCAAGGTGGATGGCGGGAGGGCGGAGGGCGAGGTCGCGACATTAAGTGCGTCAGCGACTTGAAAAATAATTCAACAACATTTAATGCTAATGACGAAAATTGCACAATGCACGCATACATAAAGGCGAAGGAAAAAGCCGAGGCGAAGAGACAAAAAGAGGGAGAAAATCAACAAAATTATAAACAATTGGCAGAAATTGATGGCAAGGCAAACAAAAGTCGCACAAATATTTGATTTGTTCGTCTCGTGCATCTGATTCTCCATAATTGCAACTAATGCGCCTCCGATTTTCGCTCACTTTTGCACTTTGGCTGCATTCTTGGCTCTGGTTGTTGTTATTTCTGCGATAAACACTTAATGTTTGACATTGGGCACTATTCTTGAGCTGAAATATTTTTCCACATTACTTTAGCACTCCACTTGATTACGAATGCATTTAAACTTGTGTAAATAAATCGTTATAATGAATGAGCGCATTAAATGCATATGAATTTAATACTTAAACGGGCAGAGAAAAAACTTGAAAGTAAACTAGCTTATTTAGTTAAAATTCTAAAGATATTGCCAGTATATTTATGCGTGCAAAAACCCTTAGATATTCCCCTTCTGATTTTCTCATGTATAGTAGTTCTCTGCTTTTTGCTCGCACAATTTACTGTTCCTTTGTTAATTTATTGAAATGAAATGAGAAATAAAATCAAGAAGAAATAGACGGCAGTAAAAGCAGGAAGTATGAGTTGGCACCCCATTCCAGCTCATTTTATTCCCCACCCCCCTCTCCCCCCTCCGCATCCTCCACTAACAAACCACCAAAATTTGACGACGTCACTTTTGGGGGGCAAGTGCCACCCAAAAATCGAGAAGGAAGCTGCGGCTGAGAGCCTGTTACTTAATAGAGTCCAACTTTTGCCTCAGTCAATTCCGAGAGTTTTCTCTCGCCGAGCTTCCCCCGCTGCGAGTTTTCCCCACTTTCATTCATAGACCTCGCACACACACACACACTCATACACACACTCTGGGGGAGAGAGTGGGGAAAAGTCACACACACATAGAGAAAGAGAGCGAGATGCGGAGACACACACGCAGCGTTGGGGAAACCCAGCAGTCAGGAAAAGTCGCAAGAAACTCGCAATCCAAAGGGCTTCTCCCGCCCCTCGCTACTTTTGTCCGAGTTCCTTGACTTTGGCTTTTCTTTTGTGCGTTTGCCAATTGTTTTTGCAAGAAAATTGCTGAAATTACCAAGTGCTGAAAGTTCTTTGACAGCCAAGGGCGGGCCCCCATCTCCATCTACTCGGTTTTCCCTGGGTTTCCCTGGTTTCCCGCTCGACTTTCCCAGTATCTCTTTGTCTCCGGCGTTAGTCATAATTGCTCCATGTGTATCTCTATCTGTTTTCGGGTTCGTACAGCTGGTTTTATGCAAAGCAGGTTGCTTGAACTCGCCCCGAAAGCAGAGGAAATGGTGCGGGGTTTTCCTCTGCTCTTCTACCCATTTACCCATTTTGACCGTGTGAATCTTTCCTTCGGAGTCAAAAACCACCGACTTAAGCCAAATGTCATCGGCTGTTTCCTGTGCGGTCCGCTCAGCTCATTAGAGGCCTTTGATTGATTCGAACCGGGGCCGGGAAATAAATCAAATTTATGTCCGCCGCCTTTAACATAAAGCCACCGATCGTTGTTGGCCACCAATGGAGAGCTGAATGGGAAAATGGAAATGGCTGGGCCTCTTATCTGGTTAAAACCAAAAACCAAAGGCTTTTTCCATTTGTTAGATTAAAGGATTTCGTAAGGCGGGCGGGCGGCACTTTGGAATTCAGTCGCCCGAATTATATGTGAATTCTATAATTTACGAGGCAATTTCGATAATTTCTTTAGTTTGTGGCCCCGGCCATAAACGTTGCAGCAATTGTTCTGGCTCTTCTGGCTCTTCTGGTTATATAAAGGGAATTTTCGGTGCCCGGCCGGGCCGCACTCGAAATAAATAAGTAATTTATTTTATGGCAGACCCGAGCTGGCCATAAACCCACATAGATCTTATCGTCGCGCAAATAATACAACAATATAATCATAATAACAATTTGTAATCTTAAGTCGCGTCGATGCCAGCTCTTGGCTTTGGTAATTTCCCTGATAAGATTTCCCCAGTCCTCGTTTTTCTGTTCCTTTTGCCCCGGTTTTTTGTTATTTTATTTTTAATTCTCTCTAGTATTGGCGCTACGTGATCAGTGCTCTTGTAGTTCTTATATTAAAGACTGATAAAGTTAGCTGGATGACTCGCGGACTGTGACGCGGCGCGTCGAGTGAATTTGGCCAAATCATCTTTGTATTTACAGGCCGACGGTGATTGTTTAAATAAAGAAAAAACGATTATCGTATACGGGGGGACAATAGAATTTTTATAACACTATACCATATACCAAATATATGGGTTTTTCAACGTCCATCGAATCATGGGACGAGTCCGTGCATTTGCAGGTGGGTAATTATAGAAAAATATTTGGCTAATTGGCCGTGGAGTACGGGTTTAGTATCAGATTGGTAAGTTTATGGCGACATACCTTTGGAATCTGATTTTTTATCGGTTTACGTGTTTCGAATAGTCTTATTTCTTTATGGCTGGGACTTTCGACCTTGTGTAGTTTTGAAAAGTTTCTTATGATCTGATTTTTATTGGAATTAGGTTATGGTAATTATAATTCTATTCTGTGTTTATAGTTAATATGCATCAAGATCTTCACATTTAAAAGAAAAACCGGTTTTTTTCGGAAAGTGCTGAAATCCATTTTGAGTTAGAACTTTGTACCCTCCGCAAGTTGGATAATTTTCCTGCACTCAGCTTGTTTTCCTGCCCATCCCCTCCATTTGTTTGATGTTCCAGCTGCGTTCCTTCGTTTGTTTTCCTCGCGTTAAGTTTTGTTATATTTCCATTTATTTGGCTGCCTTTTTGTTACACTTTATTTATTTATTCCGCATTTATTGTGGGCTACAGACACACACTTTTCTGTCGTTAGTGCAGTCGCGACTGTTGTCTTTATGACGACTACGACTACGTCGATGATGATGATGATGATGATCACGATGGTTATTATTGCCATAGCCTGTTTCTGTTGTTGCTGTTGCTTTTGCTGCTGCCTCGGTGTGTTTTCATTGTAGGAAAGACATAAGAAAATTATAGGTATCTGCCCTTATGGCGCAGCGCAGCGGAGCGAAACAATAAAATATAAAATAAAATATGTACGAGTCTGTTTACGCAATTACAAACAGACAAACACAGGGCGACCGTCCCGGAGATACAATATTTATAACCGCTGCGATACGAGAGCTGCAGATACAGATACAGATACGGCAACGGCAACGGCAAGAGAAACAGATAGAGATACTACGTGTGCATCTTGCAGATACAGATACTCGAGGCGCAGCCTGTAACAATTAGGGGCACTCGCGAAAGGGAGCACAGATAACGGTGTAAATGAAAACCGAAATTAAAGAAAATTATCTGGTATCTGGTAGTTTCTCTCCCACCGCAAATGGCATTATAATGTGTTATAATTCGACGGCACTTACACCGAAAACAAAATGTCACCCTATCAGTTGTGAAATGAGTAATTTTGTTATTAGCCAAGTTAGGGTGCTTCAAGTATAAGTGTTATTATTACTCAACAAAATGTTGGCAAGTAATATTATATTTTCAAGTACTGATATTGGTATCCGTTGGTTTCACTATAACAGAAAGTTGTCTGAATTTACTAATATTTTTTTGAGTTTATGAAAAACTAGTCCAATTTACACCCACTTTCCTTTAGTCCCACATCAAACGCTCATCATCTTTTTTCTTAGCCAGGATAATGAGAAATACGAAGTACAACAGTAAATGCGTAAAAAAGG